ACACACTGCCAATTCCTTAGCATTCCTTAAAGACTACTCAAACTGTCCCCACACCACCCATCAGAGACCCAAACCATCCCATTTAATGTCTCAGTCCTCATGCTAACTATTCCACACAAAGCAGCTCTCACTCCCCCTTCTGTTACCATGTATCATACTCTCATCTCAACAAGTGTTCAGATCAGATCTTATCCTTTGCAGCTAAGGAACCATTTCACTACTCCCCTTGCACACAACATTTATCCAGGCATGCACTTCGATTCAGTGTCTTCTATGTTTCTCTAAGTGCCAATCATTTTTCCCAGCTGTGAATTGCACCCAGCACTACATATTGCTTATTGTACCCAGTTTCCTAGTGATTGCTGAAATGAAATTAGACAGTATTGTAACGTTTGTTTAATCTCTCATTACTCAGTAAGAGTCTATTACTGACATATATGTATGTGTTACTCATAGACAATATTTAAATACATATAAGTCTGGGCTACTCAACTTTGGAAGCCCGAGGGGCCACAATGATATTCACAGCACATGCCGAGGGCTGCAACTTAAGTGTGATTGCATATAAATGCAAGTATATATGCAAATATATGAAAATAGCTTTTTTCAAACTGATGGGCACAAATACAAAGATTAAGGCAAGGCTACACAACACGCAGACCCCATTTAAGTCAGTTCTGCTGATATTAATAATACGCAGTATTTAACCAATTTCCACCCATATGACAGCACTTTTATTGAGCAATAATAGTCCAGGAATTTAAGTACTAAAATGCATATCAGCAGGAGGCCATATTACATTGACTACTTTTCTGTTTCGGCTCCCACCCGCGGGCTGCGTGTTGCGCCCTTGCGTAATCCTAAACTGCACTGTGGGACACACACAAACAGGCTGTGGCTGCATGCGGCCCATGAGCCACATGTTAAGAAGCCCTGATATAAGTGATGGGGAAATGACTGCCTGAGATGAAAACTGAATTTAAACCTTAGTTCCATATTTTGAATGAGGATTTGGCTGGACCTTTGGACTATCTTCATTGCTTTGGAGTTTGAATTGGAGTATACTGGATCCATATGAGGATTACACACAGAAATGGTTTAATGACATACACATTTGAAAAATCACAGCATCAAAAGTCACTTGTTCTAATAACGTGAAACTGTCCTGCCAGTTTCTCCTTTTCTAAGGGTATGTCTACACTACCACCCTAGTTCGAACTAGGGTGGTAATGTAGTCAGCCAGAGTTGCAAATGAAGCCCGGGATTTGAATTTCCCGGGCTTCATTTGCATCTCTGGTTGACTACATTACCACCCTAGTTCGAACTAGGGTGGTAATGTAGTCAGCCAGAGTTGCAAATGAAGCCCGGGATTTGAATTTCCCGGGCTTCATTTGCATCTCTGGTTGACTACATTACCACCCTAGTTCGAACTAGGGTGGTAATGTAGTCAGCCAGAGTTGCAAATGAAGCCCGGGATTTGAATTTCCCGGGCTTCATTTGCATCTCTGGTTGACTACATTACCACCCTAGTTCGAACTAGGGTGGTAATGTAGTCAGCCAGAGTTGCAAATGAAGCCCGGGATTTGAATTTCCCGGGCTTCATTTGCATCTCTGGTTGACTACATTACCACCCTAGTTCGAACTAGGGTGGTAGTGTAGACGTACCCTAATAGTCTAACGGATAAGTCTGTTACACTGATGTACACACATTGAAACAATTATGCTGGTAGCACTCAGATGCAAATTTTCTATTCAGTGCTGCTTCACTAATTAGCAGATAAAATATTGAATCTTGTCACTTGCAGATGCACAGTAACTTCTAACAGATCCGTGTGTGATAAGCTGTATAAACTCCTCCACTACTGGGAAAGGGGCTTGAGAGGATGTATGCCAAAGTAGTTGTGCCAATCATTCATGATAGGAAGAAGTGCTTTGAAAGGAGGATGTACTGTTCCAACCTGTAAGGCCAGTACACAATGGGGAGAAGGCCTGAGAAGGGAATGACTAGAGTGCTTCCTGGAATAGCAGAAGAAATCCTCATGCTGGAAACCTCTCAGTCTGTGAGATGTCTAGCAAACCTCAAGGGTAAGCTTGACCAGGAGAGGCTGACCTGACTACTCGGTCATAAGGACTCCAACAAATCTGCCAGTCAGGCACTCCTGAGGTATGTTGGGGCCTCAGACTTTTTGTTGCCTTCTTAGGGCATGTCTACACTGCAGCGTTATTGCAAAATAACAAGGTGAGCGTCTATACAGCAAGCCTGTTATTTCAAAATTATTTTGAAATAGGCTTCTTATTCTGGAATAATAAACCCTCATTTCACGAGTAATAACACCTATTTTGAAATAAGGCGTGTGTGGTTGGTGCAGCTGTGGTTATTTCAGAATAATTGGTCTCCAGGGATTGTCACAGATGCCCTGGTGGCCACTCTGTCCACACCCCTCAGAACTCTATAGTTCCCTTTCCCCTGCAGACTTTAAAGGTTCAGCCACAGGGGAAAGGGCGTGGCACAAGGAAGGCCCCTGACAGTCTTGTGCCACAGAACCGCAGTCATCACTGCCTTCCCTGCTACCATGAACAATCACCGAGTCCCCTACAGCTGTTAGCGAGCCAGCAGCCAGCTCTAAAGCCCCTGCCCACAGTGCAAGAGGAAGACCCCTTCCTTGTCTGGAACAGCAGAAGAAACCCTTATGCTGGAAATCTCTCAGTCTGTGAGATGTCCAGCAAACCTTAAGGGTAAGCTTGACCAGGAGAGGCTGACTCAACTACTCGGTCATAAGAACTACAACAAATCTGCCAAGGTATGTCTACACTAGCCACTCTAGTTTGAACTAAGGTGGCTAATGTAGTCATTTGAACTTGCAAATGAAGCCCGGGATTTAAATATTGCAGGAGGAGTAACGGTAGTTCAAATTAAGAGCTTTAATTTGAACTATCTAGCCCGTGCCGCGTGTAGCTGCAGGCAGGTAGTTCGAACTAAGGGGCATTTAAAAATGGCGGCGCCCGGGAATATGCAAATGAAGCCCGGGATATTAAATCCCGGGCTTCATTTGCAAGTTCAAATGACTACATTAGCCACCTTAGTTCAAACTAGAGGGCACCCCTGAGGAATGTTGGTGCCTCAAACTTTTTGTTCAACATTTGTTCAACATTTCATTTGTTTAACATTTTTATTAATGACCTGGATGAGGGGATGGACTGTATCCTCAGCAAGTTTGCAGATTACACTAAGCTAGGGGAAGAGGTAGATATGCTGGAGGGAAGGGATAGGGTCCAGAGTAAGCTAGACAGATTAGAGGATTGGGCCAAAAGAAATCTGATGAAGTTCAACAAGGACAAGTGCAGAGTCTTGCACTTGGGATGGAAGAATCCCAAGCACTGTTACAGGCTGGGGACCAACTGGCTAAGTAGCAGTTCTGCAGAAAAGGACCTGGGGATTACAGTGGATGAGAAGCTGGATATGAGTCAACAGTGTGCCCTTGTAGCCAGGAAGGCCAATGGCATATTAGGTTGCATTAGGAGGAACGTTGCCGGCAGATCTAGAGAAGTGATTGTTCCCCTTTATTCGGCTCTGGTGAGGCCACATCTGGAATATTGTGTCCAGTTCTGGGCCCCCCACTACAGAAAGTACGTGACGCATTGGAGAGGGTCCAGCGGAGGGCGACCAAAATGATTAGGGGGCTTGATCACATGACCTATGAGGAAAGGCTGAGGGATTTGGGTTTGTTTAGTCTGCAGAAGAGAAGACTGAGGGGGGATTTGATAGCAGCCTTTAACTTCCTGAAGGGACGTTCCAAAGAGGATGGAGAGAAGCTGTTCTTAGTAGTGACAGATGGCAGAACAAGGAGCAATGGTCTCAAGTTACAGTTAGAGAGGTCTAGGTTTGATATTAGGAAAAATATTTCACTAGGAGGGTGGTGAAGTACTGAAAGGGGTTACCTAGAGAGGCGGTGGAATCTCCATCCCTAGAGGTTTTTAAGTCATGGCTTGACAAGCCCTGGCTGGGTTGATTTAGTTGGGATTGGTCCTGCCTTGGGCAGGGGGCTGGACTTGATGACGTCCTGAGGTCTCTTCCAGCTCTATGATTCTACTAAGCAAAATAAAACAGAATATGCAAGCTAAGCTAAAAAGACTAATTACATGTAATATCTCACCCTAAAAGTTGTTCCGGTAATTTTCACCGATTAAGGCATTCTTTCAGCCTGGGCCAAGTCCTTTCTTAGTTCAGTCTTAGTTGATTCCAGCAGTCATCTGGGTGTGGTAACCAGGGAGAAATGACAACCTGGGTTATCTCACTCCTCAAATAGTTTTGCAAAAGGTGGGAATTCTTTGTATGCAGTCTAAACTTCCCCTCTGCTCTTGTGGAAAAATAAAACATACAAGATGGATCACATGGATCACAGCATCAGAAGACACCATCACATGTCTCTGCAAGGCCCATTTTCATACTTCATGGACTGACCCACATGTCAGCACAAAAGTTAAGCACCATTATCTCTTGCTCATGGGCCATCATGGCCCTGAAGTGTAAACAGGGGGAGTGACCCAAAGCAGAGAATATGCAATGACAGATACACAGTTCACTATTCCTAACTTGAGCTACAAAAAGATACATGCATACTACTGAATATGATTATCTCATTTGGTTACAAGCCTTTCAATGATGTGTCACATGAAGTGTCCTGCAGAAAGCATATTCCCATTATGTCATATTCATAATGCATATTCCAATTAAAATATGCAATGCCCCATCATAAACAGTTCGGAGGAAATTACCTAATCCCTTTAAAATAACCTGAACTATCTCTTGCACTTTGATCTGAAACATGTAGTACTTTCCTCTGTTATACATAACACTGGACAAAACAGACTAATCTTCTGATCTGGTACCGCAATTTCTATGATCCAATTATGTATCATCCCAGCATCCAATTATTACTTACAATCAAAACCATAATCCTTTATTTTAAATGTCCTTAATATCACTTACATCCCTCATTTTTCCCATGTAAGCACTGTTCACTACAGACCAGTGAAAATACTGAAAATATAACTGAACATATTTGAGCATTGACTATTTTTAAAACAAAAGCTTTATTTGTTCAAACACTGAGAAACTTATTTCAAACTCAAGTATTGAAGACAGCTTTAAAAAATGCTACCAAAAATATGACTAGAGGTTACAAAGCTTATTGCGGTAAACACAAATCAAAGTCTATTGTATGTACAAATTATATGATGAATTGTATATACAAACAGAACATACATTTAAATATTACAAAAGAAACTATTTAAAAACATTAAAGTTTTGTATAGGAATGGTATTAGGAGAGGGGAAAATACATGGCCTTTCAGAAAAAAAGAAATTAAGTTTTCTTTAAAACAAATAAAGTCCATTTTCATAATTAGAAAAAAATACTTGAATTGTATCATAGTTCAGTTCCTCATTGCCAACATGGCATTTATGTCCCAAATGAGATTCCGTAATTGATCCATAATTTGCTTCAGCTGCTGATTCTTCTGTTTCAGTTTCTGTGAAAAGAAAGAATTTATCAAGTGGAGTTTGATCAAGCTTAGACTATGTAATTTTAATACCCCCCCCCCCATAGAAAACCCACACTACATAAAGAAGCACAGTGATTTATTCTCACACATCAATGATCCTATCAAAATCAACTGTAAGCCATGCTCGCTTTAGAGGATTAGAAAAAAAACAGAGTTAAGAAGAGCTGTAGGAACACTGTCCATAGAATCATAGAGCTGGAAGACACCTCAGGAGGTCATCAAGTCCAGCCACCTGCCCAAAGCAGGACCAATCCCAACTAAATCATCCCAACCAGGGCTTTGTCAAGCTGAGACTTAAAAACCTCTAGGATGGAGATTCCACCACCTCCCTAGGTAATCCCTTTCAGTACTTCACCACCCTCCTAATGAAATAGTTTTTCCTAATATCCAACCTACACCTCCCCAACTGTAACTTGAGACCATTGCTCCTTGTTCTGCTATCCGTCACTACTGAGAACAGCCTCTCTCCATCATCTTTGGAACCTCCCTTCAAGAAGTTGAAGGCTGCTATCAAATCTCCCCCCAGTCTTCTCTTCTGCAGACTAAACAAACCCAAATCCTTCAGCCTCTCCTCATAGGTCATGTGCGCCAACCCCCTAGTCAGTTTGGTTGTCCTCCGCTGGAGCCTCTCCAATGCATCCACATACCGTAAAATCTCGAGTACAATGCGCACTTTTTCCCCGTTTTTTTTTTTAGCATTAAAGTCAGGGTGCACATTATCCATAGCAGGTTTTTTTTTAGTTTTCATTTGGTTGTTCCACGGCAACTAATTAATCGCAGGACACCAGAGGTTAAGTTGATTTTTATTAGCATCAACAAGCAACTATATACACAGTTTCAAAAAGGTAAGTTAAACAAATGAAATCAACATGGCAGCGCAAACAAGCAAATACTGGTATGTTAATTGATCATCTACTCATCTTCGAAGCCCTTGAATTCGCTTTTGTTAGAATCTTCCTCGAACAGTTGAGCAATATCTTCCGGGGTATAGTCCTCGACATCTTCATCCAGGTAATACAAATCACTGTCATCTTTGCATACCCGTAATTCGCCCTTGGCTGATTCATCGTCGCTCGGATCCATCCACAGGGCATCATCCTCGCTGCCATCCATAGCATTAGAGATGCTGCATTTCAGAAACCCATTCCTTATCATAGCGGGATCAAGTTCAAGCCAGACATCCGCTATCCACTGGGTAACATCTTGCAGCGTTGGTGTTCGCATACGTCCACCTGCAGTAAATGTATGTTCACCTTCCAACAACCAAGTGTTCCATTTCCTGCGTAGTGCATCTTTCATTGGCTTGTTAACTGTCCCGTCAAGTGGCTACAACATTTTGGTCATTCCACAGGAATAATTGCCAAGTCTGTTTTGTCCTGCTGAAGCCTTTTCTTGACGGATGGCATACGATGACACCGAAATGCATCCAAAACTATTAGAGACTGCTTTCTCATAAGTCCACCTGGCCGCTTTGCCCAAACTGTCTATCATCAATCCAGCCTTTTGGGTGAACACGCAAGTGAACAGTGTTCGGGAAGATTACATACCTCGGCATTGTCTTGTACTTGAACACAATATAAGGAGGCAGCTTCGTTCTGTCGGCCATGCAATCAAGCATTATGGTAAACCTAGACTTTTCATGGCCTGTGGTAGCAATGGAGATGGTCTTGGCACCTTTCACTTCAAGCGTTCTGTTGTAGGGATTATCGAAATTTAATGGTGTCTGATCTGCGTTACCAATTAATGAAAGGTCGTAGCAGTGGTGCTTCCGTAGCTTTATGATAAACTGTTGGAACTGCAGTAACTTGGTGCCTGAGTCCATTGGTAGCTTCTGCACGATTGTTGTTCGGTGTCGGGCCGATAGGCCATAGCGATTCATGAACCGATCGCCCCAGCCATATGAAGCTTTAAACCCGGCTGTGTTAGCGCACGTTTTGGCAATGGTCAAAGCCTTCATTCTAACTTCTGCAATGCTAACACCACCGCCTTGCTGTCTGTGCTCAGCAATCCATTCAACCAACTTGGCCTCCAACTCAGGATATGCAGCACTTTTACCTCGCTCAGCTATCTTCATCCTAGGCAGTGCTTGCAGGTGCTCTTTCTGCTATCTCCAAAACCGAATGTTAGACTCTGCTATGTTATCAAATTCACTGCTGGCAGCTCTGTTGCCATGAACCTCAGCATAGCTAACAACTTTCAGTTTTTCAGTGGTCGTGTAAGATCACTGACAACTCATGCCATCCCAAAGAGAGCATGGAACGCTGCACACTATATACTCGTGTGCTCACGTGTGATTACCCGGCAATACAAAATGGCAAGACAAAATACGGCAAAATCGGGGTATGCACTATAGATAAGAGTTCAGTTTATTCAGGGTTTCTGACGTTTAAAAGGTAGGTGCGCATTATGCATAGGTGCGCATTATACTCGAGATTTTACGGTACTTTCTGTAGTGGGGGGCCCAGAACTGGACACAATACTCTTTTCTTTTCACAACAGTCATTTGGTCAGAACTTTGTCTCTCTGCTGGTCCACCAGTAGAGATCCACACCTGGCCATTAGCCAGGGCTCCCTGCCTCCAGCACAGGTCTGCGCCTGGCTGCTGCCAGTGCTAGCTGCTGCTCCACTTTTAACCTCCAGTCCTTCCTGTCAGGGCTTCACTGCCGGATGGGGCTACCTGCTCCTGGTGGAGCTCTGCTCCCAGCTGTTGGCCTGGGCTCTCTGTCCTTGGTTGAGCTCTGGTGCCAGCTGCCACAGATGCTCCTCTCTCTGGCCACGGCTGGGGGTCCCCTGCTCCTGGATGCTGGCCCTGTGCCTGCCAGGCCACTAGCCAGGCTCTCTGCGGGCTGCCAGCCCAACTCCACACAGACACTGGCAACCTCTGGGGTTGGGCTCTCTCATCCATGAACAATCTGGTCCAGCTACACCCGTGGTCCTGTTAGACCACGGATGTGGCTGGACCAGAGAGGTTCTACCTGTAGTTAAAATGTCTAGGGGGAACATATACATTTATGTGAACATATTTTGTGTGAATACAGTGCTTAGGAAAATACTGGATTAGTACTACAGTAATACAGTATAGTTCAGAGTAATGAACACCAGTTAACAAACTGGCCAGTCAACCACACTCCTCATTTGGAACTGGAAGTATGCAATCAGGCAGCAGCAGAGACAAAGACAAAACAACAAAACAGTAGTACAGTGTTAAACATGAACTACTAAAAAAAATTGACATGGTAAAGAAACTGTTTCTGTGCTTGATTCATTTAAATTAAGATAGCTAAAGCAGCACTTTTCTTCCATAGAGTAAAGCTATGTTAAGTCAATGTTCAGCTGTAAACTGTTGAAAGAACAACCATAATATTTTGTTCAGAGTAGGGATGTTAAATATCAGTTAACTGAATAGTCAAGTAACCTCATGAATTCTTATCGGTCACTCAACTATTCTACAGTCCCCAGTGTGCTTGGCCCCACTCCGGAGAAGCCCCCTGCCACTCCATGCTGCTGCTCTGTACTAGGCGGGAACTGGTGTCTGCAAGGGGAGACTGTTTAAAAACCAACTCGCCTCACGGGACCTGGCACGAGCTGGAACTGAGCTGGGCTGCCTGCCTGCCCAGTTCTTAATACACTTTAAATGCAGAGATGCAGCGGGGGTAGGTCCCAGGCCATCGCAAACCAGGACTGAGCCAGGCTGCTGGCCAGCCTGCTAAAAAATTTACTGGCAAGGTGCGGGGAGGGAAATGAGTGTATTCTGTAGCATTAACCTATAAGCTTTTGCTTATTGGTTAATCTGTTAATTGACTATACACACTATTACATCCCTAGTTCAGAGTTATAAACATTTCAGAGTTCTGAACAACCTTCATTCCTGAGGTGTTTGTAACTGTGAGGTAGAACAACTCTGAGGTAGTCTGAACCAGTCAAAGCGTGAGGAAAAGAGCTGTTCAAGTTTTTCCAGCAGCTCTCCCAAATCACCTCAACTGGGATTTATAAGTGATGTTCAGGCCAGGAAACTGCATCTTACTCATTCTAGATTATGATGTGCGGAAATACTGGGATTGAGAGAGAAGCAAATTCAGGGCTTGTCTACATTTACAGCACTGAAGCTGTGCTGCTGTCATGTGTAATGAAAATGTTATCTATTACAACAGGAGAGCTTCCAGTCATAGTAGGCTTCTTTCAGCCTCGACAGACCATGGATATGCACCCTGAGAAGCAAAGAATTTACTCAATTTGTCTCACAGCAGCCATGGCTATGGTTGAAGAGACGCACTCTGCTGCATCTGTCACATTTAAAAGTGATGTCATAACCATTTGGGCTCCGCCTTAGGCTCTACCTTCTGCAAACTCTTTTCTTCTCTGCTAAGCTGCCTTAACTTCCTCTTGTAACTCTGGAAAACTTTGTTAAGCTTTTGTTCCAAACACTATAGTCACAAGTGTGATTTTCTCAGTTATCTACCTCCTTGCCTTTTCTTTGAGGATTTGTTTACACATGTCTTTGAAGCACGATTTGGTGCATCTTTTGGGTCTTTTTCCTAGATGCCAATTTGTCATAGAGGCTGTCCATTAGAATAATCCCATTATTCATTTGGCAAATTTGCCTAAGTCAGTGGAGATGTCTTTGCTTGAGGAGTGTTTCCATGTTGGTATACTGGCCTGTTTGAGCACCTCAGTGTTGGTGATTCTGTTCCTTTGGGAGATGTCAAAAATTCAATCAAGGCAACATATAAAAGTTGTTGAGCCTCTTTTTTCTGATCATAGAATCATAGAAAAATAGGACTGGAAGGGACCTCAAGAGGTCATCGAGTCCAGCCCCCCGCCATCAAGGCAGGACCAAGCTCCGTCTACACCATCCCTGCCAGATGTCTATCCAACCTGCTCTTAAATATCTCCAGAGAGGGAGATTCCACCACCTCCCTTGGCAATTTATTCCAATATTTGACCACCCTGACAGTTAGGAATTTTTTCCTAATGTCCAATCTAAACCTCCCCTGCTGCACTTTAAGCCCATTACTCCTTGTCCTGTCCTCAGAAACCAAGAGGAACACATTTTCTCCTTCCTCCTTGTGACACCCTTTTAGATATTTGAAAACCGCTATCATGTCCCCCCTTAATCTTCTTTTTTCCAAACTAAACAAGCCCAGTTCATGAAGCCTGGCTTCATAGGTCATGTTCTCTAAACCTTTAATCATTCTTGTCACTCTTCTCTGTACCCTTTCCAATTTCTCCACATCTTTCTTGAAATGTGGCGCCCAGAACTGGACTCCAGCTGAGGCCTAACTAGCGCAGAGTAGAGCGGCAGAATGACTTCACGAGTTTTGCTTACAACACACCTGTTGATACAACCTAGAATCATATTTGCTTTTTTTGCAACAGCATCACACTGTTGACTCATATTCAACTTGTGGTCCACTATACCCCTGATGAGAGTATAAGGTCCATGCCTAGCTCCTATACAAAAGTAGGCTGATAAAACATGCACGATACACACAGCTGGCCGCAGTATCCTGTCCCTGGCCCCAATCCTGGGGCAGGCCCCACAGTCCCGCCCCCATCTAGCCACAAGAAGGGCAGGTGGCGGCCCTCCTCCTGCTGAGGCGACAATCCAGCTGTGGTGGACAGAGGGGGTTGGCGAGCGTAGTGAGCAGAAGGTACAGCCCCTAGTTTAAATAAATTACTCAAAGTTTTCTATTAATATAACCGGTTAGGAATCTATTTGTAAAAAATAAATTAAAATAACCTACCAAAATTCTTTTTTTATCTATATTGTTACAGACATACTTGCTGACAAATATTTTGAAATTATCTAAATAACTGAAATTAGGGATGTTAAATAGCAGGTATTTGGATAATTATGTAACTGCTGAAATTTTCATCAGTTACATAGTTATATGCACCTGCACCTAGCTCCTCGAATGCCGGCGGGCACCGGCTGCCACCCCGTGCTTCTACCTCTGATACAGGAGTTGGTACACGCCAGGAGTTGGCTTTTAAGCTGGGTCCTGCCCCACTCCCAGGGACCTGGCTGCCGCTTGGTGCTACAGGCTCTGATACAGAATCTGCAGCATGGGGTCCCTAGGAGCAGAGCGGCAGCCTGCATGTAACTGTTTATGGTAACTAATAAGCCCAGGCTTATAGGTTAACCGTGTAAACAGTTAACCTAGTACATCCCTAATTGAAACTGGCACGATCATATTGTGTTATTTTGACAAATAAAATATGCAGAATTTTGCAGAAATTTAAAATATTGTGCACAGAAGTTTTAATTTTTTGGTGCAGAATTCCTCCAGGAGTATAAAACTGCAAAAAAACAAAAAGGGAAATGTCTGCTTAGGAAGGAGTACTGCCTAAAAGAATCTGGGTCTTTCTGTGGATCACAAACTAAATATGAGTAAACAATGTAATTCTGTTGCAAAAAAGCAGATATAATTCTGAAATATATTAACAGGGGTGTTACAAGAAAGACTGGATGAAATTTTTCCATGTAGTACTGATATGGCCTCAAGTGAAGTACTGTGTTCATTTCTTGGTACCACATTATGATGTAGACATACTGGAAGAAGTCAGAGGAGAGCCACAAAAGCAACTAAACATCTAGAAAATATGACTTACATGGAAAGATTGAAAAAATTGGATTTGTTTAGTCTGAAGAAGAAAAGATTGAGAATAGACAGGATAACAGTCTTCCAGTATATAAAGGTTTGTCATAAAGAAGAGGGTGATAAATTGCTCTCATTATCCACTGAGGACAGGACAAGAAGTAATGGGATTAAATTGCAGCAAGGGAGATTTAGGTTAGGAAAAACTTCCTTACTGTAATGGTAGTTAAGCACTGGAACAAATTACCTAGGGAGGTCGTGGAATTTCTGTGATTGGAGGTTTTTAAGAACACATTAAGCAAATACCTGTCAGGGAGGCATAGGCAGTAGTAAGTTCTACCTCAGTGTAGGAGACTAGACTATATGACCTTTCAAGGTCCTTTCCGGTTCTACATTTCTTTGATTAACAACTTATTTGTTAAAGGAAAGTTTAAACATTAATGAAATACCACAACAGCATACTAAGGAGGTTTAAATAACAAATCTGCATATGAGTATAACAACAAGGGTAAAACCATGCCATAAAACTATCATAAGAAAAGCAAGTAACAGACAGTTATGTTTATTTACAGTTAAAATTGCAAATAAATGTGCATAAATTCACAGTATAACATTACATGGAATTTAATATATAAATCCTGCTATATCAACATATAAGAAGGTAAAATACAACAGGAAAGCTTTCAACTGCTTCTCTCTAAATTCACATGCTGTGCCCATGTTTTTTACTATAGTGTGAATAAATATGGGGTTTTATGTAACATCTTTCTCTCACTAACTGGGAAATGAGAAGTTGAAACATCAAAGAAATATTTCCAGTGGATTTTCTTTTTTTTCACTCTACCATGTATTTTAATTACTTGGAATCTAGATACTCCATTTGTTCAGTTGTTTTCTATTTTGCATATACCTGCAATGCTTTCTACTTAATTGTTTTCAGGTAGATCTATTCCAGCCCTACAAATATTTAATTAATTCTACCTTTATGTTTTACAATTTGAGAGACCAAATACTTGTGCTTTAGTAACGCTGCACTTTTATATTCTTTAGTAAATGTTAATTGGTCATTTTTTTAGGTATGAATAAAACTATAATTAGTAACTATACTTGCATTCAGATTGAAAATGTAATAGCATCTTTAGTGTATCTGATACATTTTGCTTGACCCAGTTAGTGTTTCATAAATGCTATACTTGACAAATGTTATCAGAATAAAATTGTGAATTAATAATAATTTTAGCTCTTCTTCAATTTCTCAAAAGAGAAAAAGCAAACCAATTGTTTTGGGCTAGGAAACATGGTAGAGAGCAACACAGTTTATACTGTGGGGGTGCCTTAATGCAGCAATCAACAAGCAGAACAAAATAAAAAATCGCTGAACTATGGAGAACACAGAAATCCTGATATAAAAGAAATGTTTACTATTGAACTACTTGTCACTTGGGGCCATACAGCAAACACATTGCATTTTATGGCGCAATCTAATAATACAAGCTTCACACAGACAAAGAAACATATTTTTTGCATTCTGCCAATCAATCTTAACTTTGCTACCTTATTTACTTCCATGATTTCCCTTCTCTCCTCACTAGCAAAACGAAGCTGGCTGGCAACACCACGATCATCATGCTTGGATCCATCCTCTTCAATATATGGAATAAGTTGCTATGAAGGTGAACAAAATGTTAGAGATTGAGTAAAAATACTATTTTTCTATGTCAGCTGAAAATCTGAAAAGAAACACAATATGTTCAAGTACTATAAACCTCATCAGCCAAAATAAATTTCTCATTTCTGTTATGGAAATGAAGGAAACCCTCATTATTTGAAGGGGATGCATTCCTAGCACCACTGCAAATGGCAAAATTTGCGAATACTGAATCAAGAAACATTAGAACTCATTTGCATGAGTCGCAATCTCATTTGCATATTTTCTGACAATCCATTTTCACGTTGGGGTTTTTGCGCAAAAACCCCAGTGCAAGAAACGGATCGGCAGAAAATATGCAAATGAGATCACGACTCATGCAAATGAGTCCCTCGTTAGCATATTTTTTGCCAAGAAAACGCGTAGTGTAAACGTAGCCTGAGAGGGGGAGTAAGGGAAAAAAGGGGCAAAAGGATAAGAAGGAAAGTTTATTTTTACAGGTGTGCTACATTAGGGCCAGACTGTCTTCAGACTTTGGATAGATGCATAAAAGAGCAAAGACTTCACTGCTTTCTCTGGGAGTGCAAATTGCCCTAAAAAGAATTGGGGGGGGGGGACATGGCTTTAGCCCCTCCCCCCTCCACAAACACACTCAAAGGCCCATGGAATGGATCCTGCACTCACTGCTGTGCACCAAGGAGAGATAGTATGTCAAATAGGCACAATGCCTCACAGACCTATGCTTGGGCCACTGCAGTTTTATGTAGGCTTCAATATGGGATGTATTTAACAATTAGGCATAACCTAAATCTCCCTTGCTGCAATTTAATCCCATTACTTCTTGTCCTGTCCTCAGTGGACAATGAGAGCAATTTATCACCCTCTTCTTTATGACAAACCTTTATATACTGGAAGACTGTTAGCAAAACATTAGTCTGATTCAAGAACAGTACCCTACAACAGCTTAGAATTAATAGAACTTGTATATGAAGGCAAAGTCCATTGTTGGCTTCTTTAAATTCCTATATCTGAAAAAAATATGAGAATTTTTATACATGTCAACACCATACCTGAGTCAAACATTAGGCATTGAGAAAAGATGCTGCTGCTACAGTAGGACCTCTCTGGTCTGGGAGGATGACAGATGTTGACATAATACCTCTCCCTGGTGCACAGCAGTGAGTGCAGGGTCCATTCCATGGGCCTTTGAGTATGTCTGTGTGGAGGGAAGGGGAGACATTTGTGGTCCGGCAGGACAACAGATGTTGCCGGACCGGGGAGCCCCAGTGGCTGGAAGCAGGGTTTGGCTGTGAGTCCAGCAGCAAAGCAGCTGGGAGTGGAGCTGGGGCTAGGAGCAAAGCCGGTCAGGACCAGGGCCGGGAGCACAACCAAGTGCATTGTCAGGAGCAAAGCCAGGGCTGGGAGTGTTGCCAGGGCCAGTGGCCAGGAGTATGGCTGGGAGGGGAACCTGGCGGCCAGGAGGAGGAGGCCAGAACTGACCTCATCTGGTCCACAAACTCCCTAAGTTAGACCAGTCAGACCCTGAGGGTGCGAGAACAGGGAGGTCCAACCTGTATTAGAATAAGCGCAGGGTGGCAGGCAGGATTTGGTATGCATGGGGAGCCGGCTTTTAAGCTGGCTGACTGCGCCCTGAGAGTAACTGCTAAAATTTTCAACAGTTACACGGTTATTTAATTACACTCATTTTAACTTGCCTAGTTTTATCTGAGATAGCATGATAATTTCCATCTTAACTCATTTTCAAACATTCATAATTTACTAAAACAGCTACCCCTTGTATCATAAATTTTCAGGACTGGTCTCAGCATAAAAAGATATTTTAATTTTTTTAAGTTGAGAAAAGTGAATAGCCAACAAATTCCACATTGTATATGTGTATCTAAGCAAGATAGTGAAAATGTGATGAAAGGGCAGGACATAATATTTGCCTCCTGTAAGGCAGAAGCTACGTAGCTAATCTGGTTCCCAGAGGGAGGGTTTCCTTTACTATCCTACAGAGCAGGAGACAGCATTCTGATAGCATGCAGTCAAATATTCTATACTGGTATTTCTTTTTCCTCTCTAAACCTTTTTTTTTTAAATAAAAGTGACTAAGAACATTCAAATTGAACAGTTAAGCACTCAAAATTCAGGCAAAGAAAGTTTGCAACTAGGTCAGCTTCATAGTTAATTGTCTTACACCCCAGACATGTTGGTTGAAAAGGAATTGCACAGTACAAGGATATGGACTATATTATCAGATATACATTAAATAGATTTGTAAACATTTAAGTAAATAAAAATTGTCAATTAAAACAGAACATAGAAAAAGGATTTTTTTTTGCAAGATGCTTCACATGTAATCTAAAGCCAGAATCCTGCAATTGGTTCTGATGGATTCGGTTGCAGGATGGGAGCTAAATTAATATAAAAAAGAGTGTACAAAATGTTTTATTAGAATAAAATTAGAAATGATATAAGCAATGCACAAGGAGATGGAGTTATGATTATTCAACCTTTTCTTAGTCTAGTTTTATGGATGGAATGTTAGTTACAGAAACCTAGGAACCTGAAGAAAGCTTGTCCTAATATATACACTTACATTAGAATCAGACAACAATTTCTCTGCATTCACCAATGCAATACCATTTTGCTATATTCAGCCAAAATGCTACCCCTTCAAGATACCACATGTACCAATAGTTCATTTTCACTTTCATAATAAAGGCCAAAGGGACACAAAACAGTGAATGGTTTAGTCAATTCAGGTTCTATTCACCCTGCCTCATAATACACAAGATGAGTAACAAAATGAAACTAACTCAAAACCAGTAAAAAGAAATGTCTTCAACACAAAGCACAATGAAACTCATTGAACAAGATATCACTGAGGCCATGAGGTTAAAAGATGTCAGAAAAGGATTAGACATTACTATGGATAACAAAAATATCTAGAGAGATAAATAAATGCTTTAAAAAACCCAAATCCCATAAACAAGCTCCAAGAAGGGATATAATTCTATATGCTACAGAGCAAAAGTCAACTCCATCTAGTGGGGATGGAGAGGAATCTTTCCATCGAGCAGATTATCCCATAAAAACCTGCTGGAGGATTTCTCATATAAGTTAAACCTCCCAAAACAAGCATGCTCTGGTCCAGCAACATCCTTGGTCCAGCAGAGAATCTGGGGAGCCAGGTCTGGAACCCACAGCAACCTGAAGCACTGTGGGGCTGGAGCCAGTGGCTGGCATCCCCAAGGCTGGGAGCCATCAACAGTAGGGCCAACAGCCCAGCCAGGGCGGGAGTTGGAGGCTGCAGGGCCAGAAGCCTGGCTGGGGCTTGGAGCAGCAGTCCTGCTGGGGCAGGTGGTACCAAGGGCTGGAAGCAGGGGAGGCCATCTGCGGCAGCAGTGGAGCACTGAGGGGAGGTGGGCTGGGGAGCCAGTGGTAAGGGATCTCCCCAGGTCCAGCAAATTCCCACATTCTGGACCGGTGAGGTCCGTAGAGTGCCGGATAGGGAAGTCCAACCTGTACTGTTCTCTAAAACAGGTGAAAATCTTCTCAGAGACTGGTCTAGATGGACTCACCTGAATGTAAATATCCTGTTTTTTCGTCCCTTCTTAGTGAACATTTAAAAACATATAACACCATGTTTATAATAAACTAATCAAAACACAAGAGTAAAATGATATAGAAAATCCAAAAATTCAGTAGTAGCAGCAGCACTCACTTCTCCCACCCCAGTCCTGTCCCCCCTTCTTCACCCCACCCCAGAGCCCGTAATCCCAGCTAGAGCCCTCACTCCCTCACCCTAGGCCTCTGTCCCAGCTCTGAGGCCCTTCCTATACTCTTAATCCCTTGGCCCCACTCCTGTCATACACCTTCCATGAGTGAAGGAGTTTTGTGATGTGCGCCAATATGGAGGTGATGTGTGACATATAATAGCCATACTGTTGCACATAATAAAATTCATTCCGCACATGGGCATACAAAATTAGAGGGAATACTGTAGGGTGTGTGTGGGGGGGAGACACACAGGTTTCATTATTGGTAAGGGAAGCCACGATAAGTTTGGGGACCACTAGTTTACAGTCTCATTTAAAATCTGATACAATAACTGAATATAACAAGCTATGTGAAGGAACGGGTGCTACGGTAACATAAATAAACAATAAAATTCAGATACACCAATCATGTATATCAGTGTAAATACTTACCTCTATGGGAACAGGATCTAACCCTGCACAGTTTTCATTGCATTTGTCATACACTAATCTCAGTTTCCTGAAGAGTATTGATAGTTGACGGAGATGTTCTTGTAGCTTTCCTAATCTGTCTTGGTATGTCCCAGTATGATACGTAACACCATTTGGTAGCTTAAAAAGGAAATTTAAATAGGAAAACAGTTGTTAAAATTTAATAAAAAAAAATTACTAAAACTAACTTTCTATTCCATCAACAAAAATGAAATGTTTATAAAAAATATTGTACTTTTTAGCAGTATAATTATTATTACATGTTTTATTCCATTAACAGTCACAGATATTCCAGTTACTTTCTTTACATTAAAAATTGTACATTATCTGCTAATTTTATATGCCAAATCATTGATAAAAACATCAACAAACCCAAGTCCTATCTAATCAACACATCTTTTCTATGATCAATAACTTATTAACATCGTCAAAGCATTTTACAAATGTTATCCTCTTTCCTATTGTGACTAATTAGAAAACTGCTCTCTGGTATCATACTGTATCTGACCACAGTAATCCACACATTCATACTCTGGATATATTTGCTATATTTATTAGGGAATGAGACTCCATAATAAAGAGTGAAGCAATCATTCGCTTAGCAAATGCACTGGAGTCTGTATTCAATTCATTTTAATTAGTTATATAAAAACAGAAGTTTCAACAACATTTTTAGAAAAATATTTCTAAATTTTTCAATTATTGTTTCTGCTTATGACCAATTTATAAAGGATTGAAACTTCTTGAAAATTAACAGTTTGATTAAATAATGTTGTGGGTTTTTTGGCATTTTTTGATCAGCTTCAATTTGAAAATTCATTGCTATCTCTGGGGTTTACATTTGTTACCTAAGATCACTTCTCTCCTGACTAAAAGCTAAATTTTCCTAGAATCATGAAACTGTTTATCAAGAGAGGAGGCTCATGACACAGAAAAGGGAATGTGAGTCTGGATCTAGATTATGGAACTCAGTCTTACAGGACTTCAAAAATTAGAACTTACAATAAAACACATCTCATCAACTTAGCTTTTCCACAATAAGCTCTCTACACAGCTTTTCACACACATTCATCCCAAAACAAAACTTGTCAAGTTTTCCCTGCTAATGGAAATGAAATATGTTTTATTATTTTCATTTGGGAGGTGATCATACTCACACTACAAATATAAATTAATTAACTGAAGTTAAATCATGGATAGTCACAGTTCTTTACCAACAATACATTTACCTGGCCATTTCACTCAAAAAAGTGCTGAGCTCACAGCTTGTCTACACGTGCAGCTTAATGATGTTATCTACGGTAACAGGACAGCTTCCCCAGTGGGAATAGGTACTCTACCTCCCTGAGATGAGCTACAGGCAGTCCCCGAGTTACGCGGATCTGACTTACGTCGGATCCGCAGTTACGAAGGGGGATTTTCTCGCCCCGGAGGACTGGAGCGGCGGGACGTCTGGTCCCGCCGCCCGCCTCCTCCGGGGCGAGAAAAGCTGCTCCCCGTCTCCCTCGTCTGCCGGGGGAGCCCGCAGACCCGGGGGGCGAGGAGCCAAGGG